GCAACCTGTGAGAGAACTGATAGCAGGAGACCCGGCTGAGCAGCGCCCCACTCTCGTTCCATAGGAAGTAGGAACTCCAGGTTTGAGGGCGATTGTTTGTGCCCCACGTCGCAGAGAGTGACTGCATCTCCTACACTGGGTCAGAGTGGAAGATACAGAGTGACAAGAGGGAATCCAGTCATCAAAAGTCACCTGAGGGCTGGGCAGGGGACCCCTGGGACACCACCACAAGCACAGGCAGGTGGCCACAGGCCCAGCAAGCCACGTGAGAACCAGACGGACTACAAACAGACCCCATCAGAGCTTCCACTAGTGGGCTGCGCGAGGCTCAAGCCACCACTGGCTCCCCATCAAAGTGACCGTCGGAACTGGATGGACTTCCCAAGGCGAAGACCTCCCCAGACCCATCCTCACTGACGGCCATCCATGGTGGAGACATAGGGACACTATTCTCCGCTTGTCCAGGCTCTGCCAGGTGCCAGCCCCACAGCCAGGGGACCGGTGACAACCCAGGGCCTCTTCCCCTTGCCACCGGCGCCTCGTCCCCCTTCCTCTCCAACCCGTCTTTCATCCTTCCCCATCTTCGCCGTGGTCTTGGTTTCGTGGTCAGGCTCCTGACAAGTGGCTCTTCCTCGTTTTAAGGACACGCTCTTGTAAAGCAGAACATTTCACTCCCATTGCACACGTCCCTGTCTAAGTCCCTTCCACGTGTCTGACATTTGTATGCCAGTGCCGGACAGCACGTGGTCACTGCACAGGGCACTTCTACAACATCCTGCCCGCGTCATGTCTGTGCGGGTTAATTTGTGAGCAGGTCTTCCTACACAAGAGCACGCACATACACACAGGCACGTGCTTTTTCAAAACGGCTCACGTATCAATACATCGGAACAGGGAAACGCTCACGTGACAGGACCGCGTTCCAAGGGACAAACTGCTCGGGATCCCTCAGGGGCGAGAACAGCGAGTACCCCAGGGCCCGTTCTCCAGAGGCGCTCAAGGTGCCTTCCAAGAGGCACCCAGGAAGGGAAGGAGCCTTGGACTCAGACGGTGACATCCCTGCCCTGAGAAGGTGCCACAGTGAGGACACGTCCCCACGTTCAAGCAGGTCGGCTCTAAGGGCCCAATGGAGACCCATCAGGGGAACGCTCGGAAGGTGGGGTGGGTCCAAGGGTGAGTGGTGATAAGTAGGAAAGGTCCAAAAGATGGTCACAGTAGGGACACCCCCAAGTGATAGGGGGTGCTAACTGCGGGTCTTACCCAGCTCAAGATGACAGGATGTACTCAGGGGCACACCGAACAGCTTAGCTGCTGTCAGTATCTACCAAGTAGAACACAGGACACACTGACAATGCAGCAGATAGGATTGGAGAGGGGCCTGGGGAAGGGGACTGGGCCACCACTCTGGGCTGTTCCCTTTCTACATCCGGGGTGGCATCTCAGGAAACTGAGTTCAAGGAAATGCTGATGCATGGGTAGATTCCGCCGATCTCGGCATGGTAACCCCTGTGAGAATGACCCTTGTGTCACACACCCCTACCGACGCTCACGGAAGGCGCACACCAAGAGAGACCGGCCTGGCTGGATTGGTGCTCGTATAGACTACGAAGAGAGCAGTCAGGTGCGGGCACCGCCGGCACACACAAAGGTGGGAGCCGTTTCACCTAGCCAACACCCAGCCTAGACACAATCACAACACGGAAGGGGGCCAGTCACCTGGGAGTTCACGGTGGCTTGGTCCACAGCCCACATCAGTCTCTCTGCCCGACCGACACCAGCCAAAAGTTCACCAGCCAACAGCAGCCCGAAAATGCACACTCCCGCAGTGCAGGAAAAGCAAAGAGATGGAAGCGGGAGCGAGGAAGGGGCCCAGCAGAAATATTTGAGCGTAAACAGCATGTCCTTCGGAGGCCACAGTAGACGCCTGGTTTGCACTCAGCTACTCACCTACAGGTCAGTGGTTCAAACCCACACTGGGGGTGCTGAGGAAGGAAGGCCTGGCTAACTGCTTCCCTGGAAATGACCACTAAGAAAACGCTCGTGAGCAGTCCTAGGTCACCATGAGCCAGAGTCGGTGTGACAGCAATGGGTTAGGGTTTTACTGGCTTTGGAGGTGACAGTAACCAAGTGACCCCACTGGGGTCAAAGGCCTTCCAATTGTGCCTCCTCACTGGAGTAGAAAGCCTGGTCATTCTCCCATCAAAATTGATACAGACGCCCGAAAATGAAGCGGATCAAGTTGACGTCTCTCTAAAAATGTCCGCCTGTGGTTGACATGTGAGCAGCTGAGCCTGGCGGGTGACGGTGTCACTTAGAGGCCACACCTCTGGCCAGCGAGTGCCTTCCATGCTCACCATGGTAGGCTCTTAAAAGTGTCCACACACCCAAGCTGGCATCCTCCTCACCTTCTCACCCCTGGCCTCAAGTGACCTGTACACCCAAGACAGGAAATTCCGGTCTACAGAGGCCAGGCTACCACCGATAAGGACCCACTTCTTTCAAACCAGGGAGAAGTTGGTTATTTTAAAGGCAGCCGACCTCAGATCTCTGGGACCCCAGGAGCCCACCCCTGCCCTCCGAGTCCCTCGCCACAGTGTAGAGAGCTTAGCAGGACCTGGGCCTGTGGGGGCCACTGTGGGCTCCGAGAGTCCGGCTCTGTGACGGCAGCTGAACCATCCCCAGCTCCTCACCCTGCTCTCAGCAGTTCCCAGCTTCCTGCAGGGTCCTCTGCTGCCCCGCGTCGCCCACACAGGGCCTCTGGGCAGGAAGGAGACTTCGCTCCGGATAACCCCTGAGGGAGCCGGCCAGAGCGATTACCAGGGAAGGAGAATGGAGTTAAGCCAGTAGTGGTGGGAAATGCTATTGTTTGGAGAAAGTCAATAGACGGGCCACTCTTTGCTTTTTATTATTTCAAACAACAGACTGGCCAGCCGGCAGGCCTTCCTTCCCCACCTCCACAGGCCCCCAGGGTGGGTGCTGAGAACCAGGGCTCAACTCGGGCAGTACTCTGGCAGGGCTGCCCCTCCAAGGCCCTGGAGCCACAGCATGGCTGCTCAGCTGCCCAGGAGCCAACGGCTCCCTTCGACCTCTGGTCTTTCCACTCAACCCTCTCCGAGGGGCCTACCCACCCATGGCCCCCCTCACCCCCAACGTGACACTGGCATGCCACATCAACTCCCAGCAGGCATCAGCAGAGCCACCTGTGTGTGTAAACCACCAGCCTGCAGCATGTGGGAAACCAGCCCACGGTTCATGAAGCCCCTGCCTCCTGGCCAAGTGTTGTGTTCCAGGCTGGGGACACTTCAGGCCAATCTCTGCCCGCGCCTGCATGCGGTGGGCTGTCGCTTTGCTGGCCCCCAGGTGAGCGAGCCAGTACCTTCTGCTGCAGCCCCATCCGTGACCAGCAGTGCAGAGTGTGTGTGTGTGTGTGTGTGTGTGGTGTTGGGGGTGGGGCCATGCAACAATAGCCGGGAAACAGACCTTCCCTCCAAGAGAAATAACTTCTGTTGTGCGCACCGGATGCTCAGTGTTTGCCCCTGTGATGCTGTGGTCCGCCGGCCAGCCCATAGAGCACTGGTCCACTGTCCCCTCTGGGGTCGCCGTGAGCTGACGGTGACTCCTGGCCTGCTCAAGCTACCCACCCCAGCTCAGGCAGATGGCTGAGCCACCCTTGAGCCACCCTCCAACAAGGCCCCTCCTCCTGGCCAAAGAGTCAGTGCCCCTTCAGTGTCAGGGAAGAGATTTAGGGGTCAGGGACCTTGTGACACACTGAACAGGGTTTGTGCCCAGGGTTCCCTGGGATCTGAGATTGAGGCTCACTGAAGAAATGGTTAGGAACCTTGGTGGCGCTGCGGTTAAAGCACTCTGCCGCCAGCCAGAAAGTCCGAAGTTTGAACCTCCTGGCCACCCTCAGGGAGAAAGATGAGGCCGCCTGCCTCTGTAAAGACGACACCAGGGAAACCTCCACTCTGTTCCCCAGCGTCGCCGGGAGCCGGAATAGAAGCAACCACACAGGTGGGGAGAAAAGCTGACACCGCCCGAATTGCCCTGCCTGCTGGCTTCCTCCCGGTGGCGGGTGTTCCCCACAGACCAGGCCGCTGGGTCTGCAGGAAACACGGCCCTTGAAGCATCTGAAGCGGCAGCCCAGAAATATAGCCACAAAGAAAGCGAGACCCAGGCTCAGGCTCGGATCCGGCCAGGCCTCTTGATGGAGTCCGAATCACCACACCACATCCAAGGTAAGCCCAAACAAGGTAAGCATGCCCTTTGCCTGCATACCACCGATATTTCCCCGCAAAGAGCCCCCGGCCCTTGTCAGCCAGCAGAAAACAGGACTGACCTGCCACCCCGAATCTCAGGAAGATACATACTTCAACCACCGAGGCACAGAGCGGGCTGGCTCCCCCTGACCCCGACGCGGCCTGAGCAGAGGCATGTGGGGCACAGTCCTGAGTGGAGGAGCCTCCTGCCACTGCTGTGGACCAGTGGCACGCAGGGCCCATGAGTCTTTGAACTCCCAGGAGACAAGGCGGGCAAAGCAGGACCAGATACTTTCCATGCCCCGTCCCCCATCGCCAAGCAGCACCCCCAACCCCACCCCCACTCCGACCCCACTTAACAGGTCCTACCCTTTCCTCCATCTGGTCCCCGAATGCATTCCAGATGGACGCAACCGCCAGGAGGACTGGAGCCTGAGAGCAGGCCCGCTCCTTCCTGCCCCTCCCCGAGCACCTGGGTCTAATAACACCCAGGCCTTGACCGCAAACCCAAGTCAGAGCGAGCAGCCCTGGAGCTGGAATCTCATTCCCGGTGGGGCTGTCACCTGACCCAGGTGCACCCTGGCCTCACCCAGTCTGGTTTCTCAGGTATGCCGGCAGAGAAGGAGCAAGATGATCGCTCCTGATGTCCGCAGCAGCAGCGGCCTCACCAGCCCACCATGCCAGTGCAGACCCAACCCACAGGTGGGGACAGACCAGTGATGCCACCTTGGTCCCTCCTACCTTCTTGAGCTTGCCGCTCTTGGTGCCCACGAAGGCCAGGGAGTGGTTCTTGTAGACATAGGCAATGACGGACGTCATGCGGTCGCTGTCCTCCGTGAACACCGGGATGCCCCGCACCATGTCTGACACGCCCAGCGGGGCGTTCATGTCCAGGCCACAGAAGTTGTCGTCGATGGTCAGGAGCTGAAAGTCAAAGGGGAGGAAGGTCAGTCTGGGAAGGAAGGTACTGACTGGGGGCCCTGCGGGGCTAGAAGAAACTCGGGTGGTGTATCTTCTAGAATAAACCCTTCCTTTTGGACCTGAGAAGCTCAGCTCTGGGGAAATCCCGGAGTCCTGCCTGCAGAGACTGAAGTCAGGCATTACCAAACGATGGGAAAAACTATCATCGCTGGGATTCTTCTGCCCCACTGCCAACCCCTCCAGACACCGTCTTGTTCCATCATCATCACCGTTGTCTCCATGGAAAAGCACAGCCCACCCTTCCCCACCCCTTACCCTTGACCATGGACTCTGCTCAGATGAAAGAAGAGAGTGGCCTCCACTCCCAGAGAGGTCCAGGGATCAGACACTTGGATGAGGACCCGATGGTGCAGAACCATGAACAGACCCATAAGTACGGGAGTCCGTGGGGTGATTGCAGAGATGGGTTGGTGGACGGACTCCACATCTCCTGCTGGGGACCAGGGTTCATTTTCTGGCCGATGTACAGCCACCCATCATCGGTCCGTGGGGTCTGTGTGATGCTAGGCTGCAGGTCAGACTTCTGCAGAGCTTCCAGACTCAGACAGACTAGGAAGGGAGCAAGGCTTGGCGATCTGTTTCTGAAAATCAGCCAAGAGAAAGCCTATGCACACCAATGGGCCAGTTGGTCTGCTGTGCATGGGGTGGCCACCAATAACCACAGCAACAGCCTATCAGGGCAGAGGTCCCCCAGACACCAGCTGGGTGGGTTCAGAGGATGGTCCATGACTCCATTCCGTCAACACGGGGGACCCTCGCTCCCTCCCTCAGAGTGCTCCTTGGAGGGGTCCCGGCCACACTGCCACCAGCATTTCCCACCTGCCATCTGTGAGCACGTAGCCCCTGAGATGCATTCCCACAGCAGGCTCCTTGGGCAAAGGCCTGGGGAAAATCGAACGCATTCTTATGCCACCTGGAAGAGTCCTAAGAGCCAGCCACAGGAAAGCTTTTGATGGGAGAAATGTGTTTCAGGTTAGGGCGGCGTTTCTCCCAACCGCTGTATTCCCCAAACTGCCCGCAAGAGCAACGCCTTCTCACTGCCCTTCCCGGGGGTACTGCAGGATGCCCGGGGTTCATGCTCACAAGCTGTGTAACCTCGCGTGACAGTTCACCAAGGAGGCAGCAGGGGTGGGCTGGGGGGTGGGGGGGTGCATCTTGCTCTGCCTTGTCCCGTGCTGCTGCAGGCCCAGCTCCGCAGAGGCTGGCGAGAAGCCCTGGGCCCTCCAAGGTAGCCTTACTCGGGTACCGAATGCCTGCCGAGCTCCCAGCTCTTGCTCGGAAGTGCGGTGTGGTCTGGGACACGTTCCTGGGTCTTTCCGCTCTTTTTGATTTTTTCGCCACTCTATAAAGATGAAGGAACAACTCCTGGCTTTTTGATCGCCTCTCCTAAAATCCGGTGAGCTCGAGCCTGCAAACAGCTCTGGGCTCGGCAGAGAAAGGAGCGGAGTGAAATACGAGGTGTCGCTTTTTGTTTAAAGGCTTTAGCGGAGAGGCAGCTGGAACAAATACATAGATTCCTGCCAGCAGGGCTGTGAAGCAAGAGTGGCCAACTGAGACTGTCCCAGAGCCAGGGGAGGTGGGGGGGCTCCTCCACTCCCACCCCCAAAGGAGGCAAGCACTGCTCACTTCCTGGTCACCGAACGTCTCTGGCGCTGACCTCTCCTCTCATGATGGGCTGTGCAGGGGAGAGGGCAGCTCGTGAGCTCTGACCCCTCTACCTCCCTGCATGGTGAGGTCCAACAGTCCAGACCAAGACCAAGACCCTATCCAACCTACAGGAGTTCAAGTTGAACGACCAAGAGCTAGCAAGTCCATCTGTTACAAACTGACCACGTGGATGTTTGAGAGGACCTGTGCTCAGGAGCAATACTTTGAAAATGAAGTTAAAAAAAAACAACTCCAACTCCACTGATGGGCCCTGATGGGGCTGTTGAATAAGCAATGGGCTATGAACACCAAGGTCAAGTGTTCAAACCCACCAATGACTTCCTGGGAGCAAGCTGAGGCTGTCTGTCTCTGTGAATATATACTGAAACCTGGCGTGGGGTTCCCATGAGTCAGAATCAGCCTGATCCCAGTGGGTTTGGGTTGGTTTGGTATGGGGTTCCTCAGAGCCACCTGCTGTCCGGGTGACTTCGACTTATTGGGAACCCATGTGTATCAGAATAGCACTGCACCCCACAAGGCTCTCTTCTTCATTTTACTTGTTTTGATTTTGTTGAGAATACGCACAGCAAGATCCAAACTCCCCACTGGTTCACCTCAATGCTAACGCATAGGGAGACCCTATAGGACAAGGTAGAACTGCCCTGGGGCTTTCTGAAACTGTAGCTTTTGATGGAAGTAGAAAGCCCCATCTATTTCCTAAAGAGCAGCTGGTGGTTTCAAACTGCTGACCTTATGATCGATCGTCCACCCACTGCTTAACCACGATGCCACCAGGGCTCAACTGCAACCATTTCGACATGGACGGCCCGGCGTCACGGATGACAACCTTTGGGCTGGGCAGTCCAGTCTCGCCATCCTTTCTGAGGTGTCTCCCTCGTTACCATCCACACACTGCCAAAACTTCGACACCCCGAGAGATGGTTCTTACAAGAGCTCCCCAAGGAAGAAATGGCTCTACAAGGGGAAAGATCAGGGAACTTCTTACCCGCAGCCAAATATCTTGAGGGATGGAGTCACTGGGCCTAGGGGCTCAGGGCCATAGTCCCTTGGGGGACACCCAGGTCACCTGGCACAGCACAGTACGCCAGACACAGCGCACAAGACCCCGTCCCACTTTGGTGAGTAAGGCCTGGAATCGTCAAAGCTCCTGAGCAGCCAGCTAACGACCGGTCTCTCCCACCCAGGGCAAAGGCCGGTGAAGACAAGCAAAGATGCCAGGGGACAATGAGTCACCAGAACTCATGGGACACAGGAGGCCAGAAGAGCCCCAAGGTGCCCACGACCACGGTGGGCCCCTCTGCAAGGGATCACCAGATTCGGGCCTGCAGAAGGGGAGGAAAGCGTGCAACCAAACCTGAAATCCTTTTTCCAAAAGGCTCAGTGCACTGGTCAGATGGAACACCTCCCCTCCGGCCCTGGACTGCATTCTTAGACACTCTTCAGGCCCAGAACGGAATGCACCCCTGGGCCTCCATTTTCTAGGTAGCTGGAGCTGAATGGTCCTCGATGCAGAGGGGGAAACTGAGGCAGGGGCAAGGCAGCTCATTTTTCATCACGCCCCGTTGCCTCTGCCCAAAGCACAGCCTTCTTGGAGCTGGGGGTCAATCAACACCACCCTTCCCCCAGGCCAGCGAAACACAACAGGTAAATAACCCACGCCTACAAAACCACGCCAACTCTGGTTCCTCATGGGCAGAGGCCAGAGGTCAGGCTGACTCTCCCCCAGCAAGGTCCTGGGAGGGTTGCCCATGCAGTACATAAGGCACCAGGCAGGAGGAGAGGGGGCTGTCCCATGAGACATGCAGCATCAAGAAGAAAGGGAATCACAGTAGGGGCAGGGGCCGGAAGTGAGAGACAGTTGGTGAACCCCTTGGACAGGTGAGGGTCAGTGTGGAGTCCGAGCACCTGGCCAGGGCAGGGAGCATGAGCTCCTGTCCAACGAGCCCTCCCTGGGCCCATTAGGAGCCAGATCGGAGGAGCCAGGAGGGGGTAGCAGGCCCAAGCACAGTGTCTTCCCCGGCCACTCTGCAGACACCCATGAACAAACAATCCACAGCCACCGAGAATGTGTGTTCATTAGGGGCAAACACTACTCTTCGAAGGAAATAAGCAACAGTCCACTCTATGAGGCTATCCATGGTGCCCTCCTGGGCAAGCCTGTCCCCTGGCCTGGGCCAGACCAGAAGCAAGCCCCTCTGGGCTCCTACACCCCACTCAGCAGGACACGGGGCCTTCTCTCCACGCCTCAAATGTCCTCCTGGACTAAGTGGGGTGTGCACCAAGACTGCGACGCACTGGACTCCGGGGGCTGTTTTATTCTGTGAGTCAGCAGCTTAGGGGTGCTGATGGCAGGTGAACGAGCTAGGGCTGTCGAGAGGGCGCAGGCTGCATGAACGTCTGGCTCTCTAGCAGCTTGGGTTTCTCAGTGCCGAGCGAATGTGGGACTGGAGCCAGAGTGCCTGGGTTGGAATCCCGTCTCTTCCACTGAAGGGTGTGTGACACTGGGCATCATAGAATTGAACGGTGTGCCCCCAAACATAGGAGGAGGAGTTAAGCATTTTGTTGCTGGAGCTCATTGCAGCTGTTAGGTGCCTTGGATTCCAACTCTCAGCGACCTTAAGTAAAACAGCAGGAAACACCATCCCTATGGTCCTGCGCCATCCTTAGGTTCCAGTCCATCAATGCAGCCACTGTGTCCATCCATCTCCTTGTGGGCCCTCCTTGTTTTCGCTGCCCCTCTAATTTACCAAGCAGGATGTCCTTCTCCAGGGACTGGTCTCTCCTGACAACATGTCCAAAGTATGAAAGACCGAGTCTTGGCATCAGCGCTTCTAGGGAGCGTTCTGGCTGGACTTCTGAGTAGAGCTCATTCCCAGCCCCACCCAGCCCTGCTGGGTCGGAAGCACCAGCCGGGGCTCAGTAATCCAGTGCAGGTGGTTTCGTGCACCAAGGTTTAAGGCTTCTGGCCCGGGCCAGCCACTGGAGGCTCATCCTGGCAGATGGCCCTGTGGCGCTGTGCCGTGGAGAGACTGGCATGTGGCAAAGCACTGCCACTTGGGAGCATGGCCTACCACGCTCAGGGACTGAGGGTCCTTGGGCAGTCTCCCCAGGCTGTCGAGTGGCGGTGGCAGCGGCAGTGTTGGCACAGGGAGCGTCATGGCCTGGGAAGCGCCATGACACTCGAATTACGATGGAATCGCTCACTGGCCGAACTTCACTCTCTCCGTGGCTGCGGTGAAGGTTACCGTGCAATTACATGTCGTTACATACAGATG